AAGTGCATAATAACACAAATAGTGATAATTTATAGCAATGCTGATATGACATAATATTATTGTTCAAAAATTCGCATTATAGGCGGCCACGATTCGCATTTATTTCGCCAAATCCCTACTTGTTCCATTGCAAAACCATCGCTAAATTAATCATACCGTCGACATCATAACGTAAATTAAAGTTGTTTGATAAGATATCATTCGATTGGTACTACATGATTGCGTATAATTTGGGAAATATTTGGAATATACTCAAGTAATTGCGTCAAGATTTTATCCGCACAATAAGGCAAATTCAGTAGGGACTAAATAATTTTATTTTTCGGGATTCAGAATGCGGTGGGCATCGTTTGTTTTGACGATAGTGACGTTGTTGGTGGGCGCAGTTTTCAGCCACCAACCACAACAGTTTCCAGGCCAAAACGCTCATCAGCCACCTGAGGTATGTGATATGTTTTGTTATGAAGAAATTCAAGCATTTGAGAATGACAGACTGAAACGAACAATTTCTTTTTGAAATTGCAATTTACTGCTGATTTGTCAACTCAATAAGCCGTCCGTCCCCAATGGTAAATCCAACGTATGCTTGATCACATAGGTGAACAACGAAGTTCAACTAAAGCATTGCCGAACCGTTCGGCTGATAGGAATATTTCTTCCGTGAACTGGAAGACACTGAAAACTTTTCAACTTTTTGGAAAATATCCCATTGAATAAGATCTATTATGTCAAGCGAAACCTCTTTTTAGAGGTTTAATTTAAGAATATCCATCAAAAAATGAAAATTTTGATTGATTGAACGATGAAATAAGTATCACAAATATTGCTTGGATGTATTAATGCTTGTCGAGAATCTTGGTTGTAGTCTTGGTTTTTTTCCTAATGCAGGTACATCATCAACAGCCCCCGCCAGCACATCCGAATCAGCCTCCAGTTCAACAAACTCAACAGTTTGGTGGACAGCAGGCTCAAAATGCCGAGTACGCATTCATAATTCGTTGTTTTTGGTTGTTTTAAGAGTTGTTGATTGCCTCATCTTATGAACGCTGTGGTGAAGAGATTAATTGGGGATTCACAGAATATTGAGTTGATCGTCGGTTGGTTGAGCGATTTTGGCGTCTAGTGGTTTTTTGGTTGTAATTCATCACGGAGAAGATATTTATTCTGAACGGAGTACGACACGAATTTATGGGGACACAGTCGAGGTTGATGTACAAGGGAACCTGGAATCAGATCGAGAGACGATACTTCCGTTATAATTCAGCAACAATAACAAGCAAAACTTCAGATTGAGGTTCTGGACTGTTGGGAATGTGGCTTTATGTCATAGTGATAAGATTTTTTTTGGAAGATTGAGGGCAGTTAAGATAAGGTCACAATGAAATGGGTTGATATGAGAATATCGGAAAACATCTGACAATTATAAGGAATTGTGATAATGCACGACTGTGCATATGCAGAGAGAGATAAGTGGGAATGAAGTACAATATACAGATGAGAGAACATTGGATACATACAAGATTAGCATTATCAA